AAAAAAAAAAAAAAAAAAAAAAAAAAAAAAAAAAAAAATCAGAAAGTGAAGAGGGGAATATCACCTCAGATTCCATGGACACTAAAAGGATAATAAAGAAGCACTACGAACAATTCAAAAGATCCACAAATTTTATAATTTAAATTAAATGGACCAATTCCTTGAAAGACACGATTTGCCAAAACTGATGCAAAAAATGGACATTCTGAATAGGTCTGTATCTATTAAAGAAACTGAATCAATAATTAATAACTCCAAAACAGAAAACACCAGACCCAGATGGGTTCACTGTGAATTCTACCAAACAAAAGGAAGAATTATACAAGTTCTCTATAATCTTTCAGAGGATAGACACAGAAGGAATACTTCCAAACTCATTCTATGAAGCCACCCTAATACCAAAACCAGGCAAATACATTACAAGAAAAGAAAACTACAGACCAGTATCTCTCATGAACATAGAGGCAAAAAATCCTAAACAAAATATATGGATATCAAAACCAACAATGTGTAAAATGAATTACACATCCTGACCAAGTGAGATTTATTCTAGGTATGAAAGGCTAGGTCAACATTCAAAGATCAGTTAGAGTAATTCACTACATCAACAAACTGCAGATGTCTGATTACTACGAAGATAGTATAAAAACTTCCAGTGTCTCCACTAAAGTCTCTAATATCTGCGTTAGAGTTCTCTCAAAATGTGGTTTAAGGACAACTAATTTCAGTCTAAGTGTAAAGCTCATTAAAAGTAAGATTCTGAAATGCCACCCCACAATAATGGGGTCCAGACAGGTATTTTTACCAAGCATTACAGGTGAATCCTATGTAAACTCAAGTTTGAGAATTCGTGTCCTAACTACTTTTCAAAACTCTGTTGAAGTCACCTACTACTTGACTCTCACCCCTCCATTAGAATTAATTTCTTTTCTCTATACTCTCTAAGAACATTACATGTATTTCTCTTACAACGTTTACCACATTCTCTTCCCAACACTTCTCCTCCCCCAACAAAAATCTTGTACATTAACTGAATGACTAAGATAGAGGTTTACAACCTTTTTTTTCCAACAGACCATAGCTCAATCCTAGCAGTAAATGTTACCACAGGATGCTATATTATACATATATACAACAAGCCATTAGATACCTGCAATTCTAGAAGCTAGCTCTAATCTACTCTTCTCCCACAAATCAGTATAAATGGTGGAAAGACCCAATTCAAGTTGGTCTGTAATTTTCAAAAAGAAGAGTATAGAACAGTTTTATTCCTCTAGTAAATTTTCTACAGACTATCCATTTTCACAACATGAAAGCAAAAAAAAACTAAGAGTGAATACACTGTATTTTTAGTCTGGATTACAGTCCTATTGTCATTTGCTTACAACAGGAGACCCTTATCACATGCAGAGGCATTAACTGAGTTTTGCTCTATGTAATGTATGAGAAAATATGAGAACAGAATAAAGTTTATATCAATTAAAACAGAAATAAAACCAAGGTGTCCCAAGGCTTTGCTTTTCCATTCTGGAATAGTATTTAGGACAGTAGTAAAATACATGGCTAAATATATGGACTGAAATTCCAAGCACTACCTACATGAAGTACAAAGAAAAGGAGAATAAAACAAATCAAACTTGAATAATCAAAAGGGCAAAGAAAAATACAGTGGAAATGACTAAATTTTATTTAATCAGAAACAAGTTCCTATTCTGAAAAAAGTCCTGAGTGAAGTCATAGAATCAACAGGAGTTAGGCGTTTTAATCCTCATCAAGTCCCACTTCTCTTATCTAAATTGCCAAATGATTTTGCCAAATTCATGTAACTTGTAATGGGCAATCTGGGTCTTCTGAGTTCAGTATTACATTCTTTTCACTGTATCATTAGGCACAAGCAGTGCAAAAGTCTTCAATTCAAGCTGAATCCTAAATAAATGCAACTCTTGTTCATTTCATTTAAGAGCTAAGCCCCTTCTTTTAAAGGATTCCAAGCATTGACCACACTTGCATATACAGACATTATCAATTTCATAGCTGGAAAAGCTAAAGCTGAGTTAAAGCACATTAACTCAGAAATGCAAGCAATACCAGAATGGAGAGAGTCAACTACCTGGCCCATGGTATTCTCCAGATGACATTCTCTTACCTGGCATTTTGAGAAATAACATGAGTTTATTTACTTTAGCTTTAAACAAAACTATTTCGAGCTTGCAGGTGAGGGTTTCTACTTCTAGTATTATAGAATACTGGAAATAAGTTCACATTCAGCTTCTCTGCGACTATAATAAACATAAGGATTTTTCTACACTCAATCTTCAACTTTTCACACCAAAATTTTAAAAATTGAGCTTATTTTAATTAGTGGAGATCTGAGTTTTAGTCTAGACTATGCCAAATTATTGTTACCTTAAATAAATCACTGCCTATTTCTAGATCTGAGATTCTTCTTTATATACAATCACAGGAAAATGGGGTGGTTAGGTTAATTACTATCTTTGGTTTCTTCTCATTCTACTGTTCCCTATATTTGCCTAAAAGGAAAAAGAAAATCTTGATGAACACAAACTGTATTACTCACTGAAATTAAAACATATACACACAATGCCCAAAAGAGTCATAGGTTAGCTGGCAAAGTGGACCAGGAACCACATTATTTTGAAGTTCTTTGTTTCACATTCAGTTAAGTGTCTAAAAGTCATTCAAAAGTCCCTGCTTATACACAATAGCTGAATGAGGTCAACATTGGTCCTGAAAAAGCACAGCAAACTTAAGTTAAATTGCAAGACAAAATCCCTTCAAGATAAGGATTTGAAATCTTTTATACAGTCATGTCACTAACAATGTTGAACTTTTCCACACGACTACTATTTTGAAAAATAGCAAAGGTTAAGAAATACCTTCCAACTGGCACTTTTCTGTACTGGAAATTGCTTACTGCAATGAACCATCAGTCCCATAGGACTAAGATTCACAGATGTCTCCCTTATTTACCTGTAACAAGGCAGACAGAGCCTGCACAATCCCATACTCTGCTTCTTAAATTAGTATGTTAACTGCTTGTTCCCATATATCAATCAGAACAAAAAGTTGTTATCCATATCCTGGTTAAGATCCTCTTCCCTCAGATCCTGGAACTTTGGCCCACCCTTAGGCTGAAACAGTCTATACAACTCCTCCTTAACAGCTTCTCAGGAACAGGCTGGCATGAGGGTAAAATAATTTCTCACCTACTGTTCAATCATACTACTCTTTCATCTCATTTCTCCCTACATAATTTTTGCCTACCTTGTTTATTCCTCCCTATAAAAGAAAGACCCTTTTTCCCCAACCTTTAAGACTCTTGCAGATCTTATAGTCCGGCATTCTCCCTATTGTAATAGTCTCTTCCCCCATGTCCTTGCAATATTTTCGATAAAATCTCTCCTTACTAAGCTGGGTTTTTTTCTTTCACTGACACTTCCCAATTAAAAGGGCCAAGTCTGGAAAACATGCAGCCTTTTCTTTAAGTGACAGGTGTTGATCCTCTACAAAAAGGGGATCCTTTGAATCCACGTGGAATTCTGCTGCCGTGCAGCTGAGGAGGGAAAGGAGGGAATGATCAACTAGGCAAGGTCAACTCTGGAACCACCTGACGCCACACACCGTAGTCAAAGGGCCACGAACATTCTGACTACCTACTCCGTACTCCTGGACAAATCTCGCGACTGGGTAGAACAGATTCTGCCTCTTCGGGGGCGCAGGGGCTCCAGTGCCCCGGGGCAGGTGGTAGGTCATACCCTGAGGCTCATCCCCATTGCTCCCTCCCACTCCATCCTCCGCTGGGCACCCGACCCGCTCCTTCACAGGACTGACCTTCCGGCCCTTTCCTCCCCACTGTTAGTATTCCAGCCCTCACAGGAGGACTCACCATGGCGCCAAGGACAGGTCGTTGACCAGATGCCCTGGACTCACCGGGACCGTCCCGGACCTCCCCAGTGTAACCTGCAGCCGGGCACCTCTAGACACCGCCAAGGAGAAGGTCTTCCGGCTCTGTCGGAAGTCCTGCCCCCGCGGGACAGGAAGTCCCACCCTTCTACTGAACGCCGGCGACCCCACGCCACGCAGAGGTGAGGATACGCAGGACGTCCTATAGGGCCACTTCCGTGGGCGCTAGGTTAGAAACTGGGGGTGGTACTGACCTTGAGAGCGCGCAGGGGAGGCGCAGGCGCAGCGCAGGTAGGTGGGCGGGCGGCGCGGCGAAGCCGCGCCTATGAGGACCAAGAGGTAGACTGGGTGGTCGGGGCAGGAGCGCGTTCTCACTCTAGGCGGTGATGGAGGCGAAGGGGACGGGAGCTGACCCCAGACCCAGCGGATTTAAAACCACGGGCCGAGCTCGTGCCCGGACAACACAGTAATTGCCTCAGCTCAGCCACACCCTTACTCTTTGTATCTTCTCGTCTTCTGGTTGTTCCTCCTTGGAGACTTTCTGGATGTCCACAACTTCTGTTGTCTCTGTGCTTCCTGCTTTAGTGGGCCCTCCAGCTCTTCCCACAGGGCAGTGGAATTTGATGGTGAGAAGTTTCTTCACTTTTAACAGATAGCTGCTGAAGCCAGGAGAATATCTACAAGAGCAGAGAAACCAGGAAGAGAATTCTGCCTATTTAATACATTCCAATGTGGACGGTTTCCTTTTAGTTTAAAAAATACGTATCATCAACTGGAAAAAAGTTAAACTCCCGTTTACCTCTTAATTTTGTGGTGTTGTTGTTTTCCTCAAATCTGTACCCATCAACTCTCTTGGCCTTTTTATTTGGCTATAATAAGACAGTACTGGAGACAAACTTGAAATGGATATAAGTTGTGACTGTGTATTCAATTTCATCTGAGATCTTTTTGCTATAGTGTCTAGTTTTGTCATAACGCCGGAACTGGGGAGGGAAATTAGGATGCTTCAGAGGTTAAGAAGGTTGGGCAGGCAGGGGTGGCTTCAGAGGTTAAGCTACACCCTCCCTATTAAAGTACCTGAAGCATGAGCTATAAAATAGGTCCAAAGACTCTGGGAACAGAGTTCGGAGGCATCCAAAAGAAGCATGCACAGGGCAGTTGCCATATATAAGAAATAGGGCTAGAGACAGAGTGTGTGAGTTGTTTTTAAGTTTTGTGAGTCGGGGGGGGGGGGTAAGTAGCGTTACAATTACAGAAGATACTGGAATCATAAGTATTAACATTGAAAACGGCTGGAGGTGTAGTGAGGCTGGGAAATAGTTTGTGAGACCACACTGCTGAGGATGAGTCCAAAACTCTGAGTGTTCTACTTCTGTAAGGGAACAAGGTTGTAAGTAGACATGCCCCAGGGCATCTGCAGATGTTAAGTGTGATAGAGAAGTATTGGAGTGGTTCTGCAGGTATGTCTGTGGGAAGCAGCTGCTGTACGTAAGGAGGAAAAGGTGGAGAAGGAAGTGGTTGTCAGTCTGTCCATAACAACACATCCTGTGACGTCTGCCTTTTTGATTTCTGACACTGTGGTTCTTATGTCTGTCCTAAAGCTGGCATCCTCACTGAAGTTCAGAAAGCATCTTCTATCTGACAGTAAGACTGAAACTATTAGTAGGGTGGAATCCATTCCTGCCAGAGCAAAAGCGTGAAAGGAAATCATAGTATTCGTTGTCTGCTTATCATTTTTAATAGATCATAGAGTTCTGTGTTCCTTATTTGGTATTTGTCAAGTTGGTAAATAACCCTTAAATAATATCCTTTAATGTTCCTATTTCTGTTACAGTGTGGAAAATCTATTTAAAGTTACATTTTTAAGATTAAAGTACATACAATGTACTAAGGCAGCATCCATCTCCCAGTCTTTTTTATCCTATAAAGTAATTGTAATGTTTTGTATTGGTTGCATGCCTTGAAGTAGAGAGACTTCCCTATTTCCTTTACTTAGATGAGAGTCTTTGACAAAGATACAAAATAGGAAGAATTATGAAAGGGAAAAAAAGATGTGGATGATGGAGATTAAAAAATAAATCATGTAGTTTTGGCAAGGGAGATAGGAGTCCAGTCTTTGACAAAAGTCTTGGTTGCTTACTATTAGGGCTTTGTGATGAGTTGCAGTGTTCTGACAATTGTTCACAAATACTTAAGAACACCAACAAAAGTTACCTCCTCTAACACCCATGCTGACCTGGAACACTTTCAACCTTTAAGACCTAACACTTTTTCAAAGTCCATCTCCGTAGTCTACAAAATGTTTCCCTCATTAATTCCTCTAAGAAATTTCCACTGCTTTTTCTTATATTTAATAAATATTTATAAATGTATATGTTAACAATATTTAATAAATATTATATGCTTTCTTATTCAGTGCCTTTGTAATTTTTCCCCACAATGTATATTGTTTACCTAATTAGATACGAATATTTGGAGGGCTAGGACCTTCTTTTTGTGTTACCTGCTCCATTCCCCTTAAGAAATTCTATTTAAATGAATGTTGTGGACAAAATCACTTGAGTTAAATTACTCCTAAAATGCTTTATGAACAAAAATGTTAGATGTGGCAATACTTAGAATAGTAAAAAGAAAAGTAGGAACAATCTTTAACTATTACAGGTTGGTCGAATTCTATCTTGTATACTCAGTGGAATATTATCTAGCTATTTTGTAAAGGCCCTTCTTAGACTAGTCTTTTTATTGGAAAAGGTTTATTTTCTAAATTAATAGAAGAAGATGCAAACTTGTGACCAGTATGATTGATTCAACTTGAAAAAAATGTTAAGTACATCATAAAGAGTAAAAAGTAACCAAAATATATCAGTCATCATTCCTGGAATTACCTCTTAAAACAATCTTTCTGTAGGGGAACAATGTTTTAAAAATTTATTTTCTTTTACTTAAGAATGGATGAAAGGAGATTTCTTTTTTTCCCCAAAAAATTATGCTTTGTACATTCTACCTATATTACCCTCATCTTTCTAATTTGGGAACAACAAACATGTTCTTCGGAAGAATATTGCAATAATTTAATAATCAGAAGCTTTCCTCTGAACCTTTCCTTTATTTACATGTTACCATAGTTATATCTTGGACTATGACACATACCTGATTAATTGGTAGAAATCCTGTAAATTCTATACAAATTATACAATGCACATTTTCAAGGATCATTAATGTACATGAATGAGATCTTGGTATCATTTCATACCTTTTAGTATCAGGAAAGTCTAAACCACTACTAAGAGCAATAAACAAAACCAAAAGAACCCATCTGTTTAAGACCTAAATTAATTTTATTCATCAAGTATTTATTGAGTATCTACGTGTTCCATTTGTTTTTCTAGACTTTGGGAAACAGTGGTAAATTGAGCAGACATGGTCCTTTCAGGGAATTTATATTTTGGTAGCAGTAGACCATAAATAAATAAGAAAAACATAAAATAATAGTGCTAAGTAGGAAATTAAGATAAATGACTGTTTTCAGTGAGGTGTCTAAGGAAAGCTAAGAAAGTGCCATTTAAGCTGCTATTTGGCAGGAGTATCCAACTTTGCAACAACTGGGGGAGTCACTGCTTCCCGAAGGGACAATAATGCAAAACCCTAAGTTGTGGACCGGGTTAGAATATTTCAGGAACTGAAAGAAGGCCTGCCTAGTTGGAGCATAGTGACTAAGAAAATAAGTTTGGGTAGTAAAGAACTAAATTACGTTGGCACTGAAAGCCAAGAAACGGTTTGAATTTTATTCTAAATGCAGTGGAAAAAGCATTTTAGCCTGAAGAGTGACAGGAAATAATACATTTTCTAAAATGATTCTGATAATACTTATTTTTTTATTGAAGTGTTCAGTCAGCTTACATGTCACATAATTACTAATATGCTTGGATTTAAGTCTATCATTCTTTGCTCTTTTTTGTCCCATCCGAAAATCTCAAAAAAGGATTTTTTCTTTTTTTGCCTTCTTTTAGATTATTTTTAATCTATTTCTCCCACCCTATAAGCTTGAAAGTAATATATTCTTTTAGTAATTTGTATTTTACCTCTTCCTGGGCAATGTAAGGACCTGAGAATGTATCAACTTTATGTACCAACCCATTCCATGTTATATAATACATTTTGTGTGTGTGTGTGTGTGTGTGTACTCAATATTTCCTAAATGCATCAGAGATTTTTGTTTTTATACAATGTACATTTGTGTTTACTCAAACATCTACTTTGTCTATTGTGCTTCATGGCTCTTTTGAGTTTCTTTGCTTCCATCTGAGATCATATTCTTCCTAAAAAACATGCTTTAGTATTCTTTTTGTAAATGTCTGTAGGTGACAAATTCAGTTCTTGTATCCTGAAAATACTTCACCTTCATTTTCAAATAATATTTTTACTGAATTAGCAGCTATTTTATCATTTTGAAGATACATTCCATTGCTTCTGGCTTCTATAATTTTTTTTTAAATAAATAATGTCAGTTTATTTTGCCCCTTTAAAGATAATATCTTTTTTTCTCCTGGCTGCTTTTAAGGTGGTTGTCTTAAATGTGAAGCAGTTTTATTATGTTCTAACTAAATGTTTTCTTTGTTTGTTTTTTGAAGTTTGTAATGCTGCTTGAATCTGGGATCTAATGGCCTTATTCTGTTCTGGAAAATTCTCAGCTCCTGTCAGACACTGCTTCTACCCTAGATCCCTCTCCCCTATTTCCCTGCTTCCCTGTGGGCCTTTTCTCTTACTCCACTTAAATGTATGTTAGATCATTTCACTTTATATCTTTTGTATCCATTCATTTGTGTCTCTATAGTACATTCTGGATAATTCTTACCTTTCAGTTTACTGTTTACAGTTTTCTTTTAAAAAGTCTCTAACTTTCTGTCAAACATATCTGTTAAAGCATTTATTTCAGTTACCTTTTTGGTTGTTGTCAGTTCAAGCACTTCTATTTAGTTCTGTTTTGCAGTTTCTATTTATCTCAATCTGATCTATTATTTTCTTAAACAAAAGCATAATTATTTTAAAATCTGTGTCTAGTAACTGTGGGGTCTGCTTTTGTCTGAAGCTTCTTTGGTATGATTTTTGTTTATCATATTGTCCTATTCACTTTTATGTCTCATTTCTTCTTACAGTTTTCTTTGTTTTATATTACTTACAGTTTTTAAGTTTCTTTGTATGTTTATCTTTATGTAAAAACTTTTGTTAACTTATGTTATTTTACATTGTTTTGATTGAATGCCAGAACTAATCTGTGAAGAAATTATACT